TGAAATGGTTGCTGATAGAAGTTGAGTTTCTTCTCTAAATTGTATTTTTAAAAGCTTTTTAGACAGACCAGTGCACTGAACATCATTTACAAAAAAAAAAAAAAAAAAAAATAACAATTGAGAATCCAAATTGTTAAATTCTTCAAAAGGGGGACAGCATACCATCCGGGTTCAATAATTGATTTACCAATATTGTATTATCAAACTCATTTCCCAGAAAAGAGGGATTACTCAAAATGTCCCTGATTCCATGACAAAAAAAGTCTGGCAGTGAAATTATTTTATTTTGATTTTTTTATAAATAAAAGAGAAAAAAAAATGCAGACATGTTAATCGGGATTTTATCAATATAAAATTACAAACAAGAATGTTTGCCACCCAGCATTTTGGACCTAACAGGTTTATTATTCCACGGAGGTACGACTTCTGATCAACTGGCAAATTTGATCTTGCATGGATTATTTAAAGTATGGAACTCTAAACCATTTAACTCATAAGGGTTCAGAGAAAGAGTTTGTTGTACAACAGTTTTTTATTTTTATTTATTATTTTTTTTTGCGACACTACGAGGCCATAGTAGTATAGTAGCCAGGTCTAGAGAGCTAATGCAGTGAGTGACAGCAGGACGAGAGACATCTTTTGCCTTGGTTACCAACATTGATTTTCTTAGAGGTTCTTCTTTATTGCATTAATTTGTTTGTTTGTTTAATTGTTTATTTAAAAAGGGTTTCTGTCAGCAGGTGGCAGTATCTAATGTTATCGCTGGGGTATGTGGACTAGTAACTCCTCCCCTCTTCGCGCTGCTTCTGTTAAGTTCTTCCGGTGGACAACAACGGAATTATGTTATGTTTTTGCTCATTTTTGAGGGTCGTTGGATGAAAAATAGAATATTTCAGCTATAATAGCCGCTTTATACCCTGAGCTACAACGTTTGACTGTGACACAGAACCAACATGGACGTCCCGAACCCTCCTGAAGGTGAGCAGAGCTCTGCTGCAGCGCAGCCACGATGTTAGCCGCTCTAGCTAACTCGTGAATAAAGGTGCGGTTCCAGCGGCGCATTCTTTGCTTTAAATGTTGAGTTATGTGTAACGGAGGCATTTAGCTATTGCTGCCTCATATTTCAGGACATTCAAAACAATAGTCGACTAAAGCGCTGCACGTGTAAAATTAATCAGTAGCGTAAACGGTGAAAATAAATGAATAAAAATTGAAATAAAAGTAGAACCAACAAAGTTATAAGGTGACCATCAGTTAAAAGTCAAATTTAAACGAAGTTTTAATAGGCTTTAGGGCCATTCCACTTTATTTTTTCACCATTTAGTTAATCTTGAACATGCTCTTGTTTAAGAACTAAATGTACGCTCTTCAAGCTCCGACTAGATTATTCTACATTTGCAAAATTTTTCAAACGCAGTTTATTATTAGTGAAACCTTTTTTGATTTATAAAAAAATATTGATACGTGGGTGTTTATTTTTTTTTACTTTTGCATCTGGGCCATCTCAGAACTGGTTCAGCTCGGAAAGTACAGATTGGTGTTGGTTTTCCTTTGCATGATAATCTCTTCTTTTTTTCAGTCACTTGTTCTCTAACCTCCTTCCTGTCTGAGCACAATCTCTGTCAAGAGTAGTGTTTTCCCCTTGTTGCAGGAAGAAAAATTTAGAAGAAAAGCTTCTTCTAGATCTTCTCCTCTGACATCTGTGTTCTGACAGGACCCAGTGACCTTGTAAAGCAGCTTACTGTAGATGGAATCTGATATTCTCCATTGCTTTACACTGAATTGTTGCTTGAATAATTCTCAGAATGCTATTTAAACAGTCGCAGCAACAAATACTGGTACATTTCTATTGATTTAATCAACTTTTTTTGCTAAATGTAACTTCAATAAAATAATATATTTCAGGTTTACTGTGTATAAGTAAATATGAGTTTCACTCAATTAAGAAAATGAAAAATGCTCTTTAAATCAAAAGCAGCTGAAGTACCAGTTAAAAGAAAATGCTTGTCAAATTAATCGTGGTCAGAAATGAGAAGAAATTATTTAAGACAAGACAGCCTTTTCCAGGTTAAACTTTTGGGCGTATATATTTTTTTTAGGATATTTTTGTTTTTCTTATGACTGTATTTATGAACAAAAAAGAACATTAAACACTAACTCAAAGTGTGAAACACACCTTGGTCCTTGGGATGTCAAAGTTAAAGTAGACGTAGATTCAATTAGTAAAAACATTCAAACTAAAACAGATTAAAGATTGCCAAGGTCTTGAAAAATTAGGCTGAATGGTCCTTTAGCCATTTCTTGACTAGAAGCTGCAATCCGAAGCCAACTTCAGTTTCGTGTCTAACCAGCTGTTTCTAAAAGTCCAGGAAATGTTAAAGAATGTTAAGTTATATACATTTTTATTGATTTTTGGTTGCAAATTCATCTGATTCTCCGTATCCTTTCCTTTTTCAGATCAAGAGCTGAGGAATGTGATTGACAAACTGGCCCAGTTTGTGGCTCGGAATGGGCCTGAGTTTGAAAAGATGACCATGGAGAAGCAGAAGGACAACCCAAAATTCTCCTTCCTATTTGGGGGAGAATATTTCAGCTACTATAAGTGCAAGCTTGCTATGGAGCAACAGCAACGTATGTAGTTAAAGACACAAAGCAGTTAATGTAATGTAGCGGCACCATTCAGTTCTGACTTTTGCAGTGACATTGTGAAAGCAAAATCACTGATGTCCCTAAATGAGCATTTTATTAGGCCCAGGATTAATGCATCTCAGAGGAGCTGACTCGAAATAGAAGTGTCTAACAGAGATCATTTATGTCTGTGGGAGAGTGGGCAAGAATTGGAGCCTTCTTACAGCACAGGAATCAGTAGTGCCAGTTGGCTGGTTAATGAAGTAAAATGATTGAGCTGAATACAAAATGGTAGATGGTGTCTAGTCAGACTCAAAGTATCCATGTTTGCGTTTACTACTCTGTTCACGTTGCTGACATGCTTGTTAAATTTTAAGTGAGAATATGTGAAGCCAAGTTATTTTACCTCATTAACAAGTGCCACTTCAGCCAAAGATTTTAGTGGTTAATGTAAATAACATTTCTACCATTGAACCGATTAGAAGTCGGCAAAACTCTGGATGAGGGGATTTCTGAATCTCACTTCACTCCAGCGGGGGAAATACTACAAGCCTCAGTTGTAGCTCAGCAGCACTAAACACAAGTCCAGCTCAGAGAGAACACTCTGATGAAAGTGTGTTTAAAAGGTAAAGCTGATCAGTGAGAAGCTTGTTTCCCCAGCTTCTCAGTGACGAGCGTGTACAGAAGGAGCTCCACGGGACAACCGAGAACAAAACTGTTCCTCTGTCTCTGGGGAGATCACCTTGGCAGCTTTAGCAGGAATTTGACTGCCATGAGGGTCGCAGCCCTCCTTCAGTTACTCAATGCAAAACAACCAGGATAGAATACAATAGGGCTGGGCCGAAAGGGGCCGGGCCAGGTAAGGGCCTGCAGTGCAAAAAGGCCTGAAGTGGGGGTCATGAAATGATTTTCAGAATCATAGTGATGTGACCCCGAAGTGTATGTATGGCCAAAAGAGAAGGTATAAAGTAAATAAATATATCATGAAATAAACAAATGTACGATTAAATAATCTACAGTATTGTATAGCTTTAAAATAATTTTTAGAAACTTAAATTAATTTAAAAGTACTTGCATTGATTTGACTCCATAAGTTTTATTTTTTAATAAATGGAGGAAAATAATTTTTTTAGAGGGTTGTCAGTCTCTGAAGTCGGCAAAACTCTGAATGAGGGGATTTTTGGAGTAAAAAATTCCTGTTATTTTGGTAGTAAAGGTCACAGGCAGAAAAGTTTGGAAACTGCTCTATTATCTTATAATAGGTGGAATTCCTCACCAGGTTATGAATATGATAAATTTGTCCTTTAGAAAAAAAATTAGACACCTGTATAAGTTTTCAAATATGATTTTTTTTATAACAAAACTATTTTTACAGTTAAAGTATGGGTTTTAACCACTCTAAACCTAGAAAAACCCATGTGTATGGATGGTCCGTGTACAGGCAGTTTGTTGTTTTTGTTTGAAATGAAAAAACAAAAATAGACTAATTTTTTCGTTTATTAAACCAAAATCTGAAATCGGACATCTCAGCTCGGTTCGTTATCCAATTTACCATTTAGTGCACAAAACAGAAATACAGAAATGGGGGAAAAAAAGGGTTACGAGCGCTCAGTTTCGATTTTCATCATTCCATTTTTGACAAGAGGTCTGACCCAGAGGTTCTCTCTGTCCGGTTTACACACGGGGACCGTATCACACATAGACATTATGCAGGCTGCAGACAGACAAGCTTTTTCATTTCATGCTGTAGTATTTTCTGCCAACTCCAAGTCAGTTTAAATAATGCTCCTGTAAGAAACATAATACCGGGCATCTGGTCACCGAAAAAATGGTTAGCCTGAGTTTTTATTTTGAAAAGCCAGAGCGCGGTGGCTTGATTTCCCACACCAGCTTGCAGCCATACCTCCCTCGTCTCCGGACCAGCAAGATGGCCTCCATTGTACTGCACCACCAGCAGCGGTAAATAGAGGTAAGTATAGTATTAATTAGACACAAGTTGTTTAAAGATGTTTTTAGGCTAGAAAGTAGACCTCGTAGTTTCTTCTATGCACTTAGTTCATCCAAAATTAGGCTTCTTAGAAATGTTCTCTGGAGTTTTTGGCGCAGCATAGCTCCGCTAACGGGGCCAGGCGGCACCAGGCTCAGCGGGTGGGTGGAGTGTGTTTTCCCCGCTAACCGTGGCCTGATCTCGGCAAGTCACCCTGTCGTTTTCCGCTGCTTGTTATCTGTTCATAGCGTCTCAAAGTGTAATATGAAGAGTTTGATGTCTTTGTGGGCTATATGTGCTGTTTGATTCATGTACCAAAATATAATATTCTTCTCTAGAGAGTTCAATACTTCTGAAGATATATTCTTCTTAACTTTGCCACAGTGTTTTCTTCCAATTCCAGTTGCTAATATCTCCTTCCCTTTGAAAATTCTTTGTGTATGTGTGAAATATATTCTTGCCTTCGATTGGCTTCTTACGTGCAGTATGAACTTTTTAAAATTGTTTTTTATTGTTCCTGACAGGCATCTCTTCAGGAGAGGCCTCAGCTCCAGGTTTAGGATGCAGCTTCCCAGAATCTCCCAGTGATTCTCTTCCTCCTCCTGACATGGTCTTCTTCACTGTCTCATCTTTTATATACACAAATTATAGGAATATCTTTTTATGATTCCTTGAACATGGGCTGAAAATCTGCTTTTGTTGTTTTAATAAATACATTTTTATGAATAAATTTATTCCTGATTATTTTATAAGATATGAGTTTGATAAGAAAATAAGTTTGGTAAGTGTCTAGTAAGTATTGTAAATAAATCATCCAGTTATAAAGCACCAACTGACTGGATACAGGTTGGTAAAATTTTAATATGAAATAATTCTTTTGTTTTTTTTAGTTATCCAGCGCAAAGGAATAATGGAGAGAATCAACTCAAAAGTTATGTTTAATCAGTTGAGACCAATTTATAAGCAAATCTTGTGAAGGGGACAAAGGTTTTCATATTTTGTTGGACAGTGATACTTCACTTATAAAAGTGTGAAAAAGTATCATGAGGTGATAAACCACGGAAGAGGATTAGGGCCCCTTAACATTTAGCTAACACCAGCATTATTATTTCTTTAGAAAGTCAGAATTCTGATTTAAAAAAAAAAATCAGAATTTTGAAATTAAAATTGGAATTCTAACTTTTTTCTGTGGCCCTCATATTCTTCCTAGATAATTATTTATTTAGTTAAGCTTTTATAATTTCATAAAATTGGTGCATTATTTTAAACATTTCCTACTTGTTAGATATTGGAAATGGCTACATTTTCATTGTATCTTTTGGACAGTCATACTCTGTGTGTTTGTCACATAACATTTTATAATCGGTAAATGTGCGGCAAAAACTAGTGGTGGTAGAGGGCCACATTGGGTTCAACTTGGGGAATGTTGTCTGATGCGAGTTTTAAACCAATTCCAGGTCACTTTGTTCAATCAATGATTGGTTTATTCTGTTTTAGATTTTCTTGCTTTGAACATTGAGAGAAGGACTGAGACACAGACTGACAAGGTCAATAATGCATAAGAGCTAACATAATTCGATAAGGCAACATAAGTCAACAGAAATCATGACGACTCTGCTCACCCAACTTCCAACACATAAAGCCAGCGCGTCAGTAACAGTGCCAGTCATACCTGGTGACGGTCACGCCCACCTCGACACACCCAGCACCCTAACAAAGACAATTGCCATTTCAACATAAATATTCTAATTCCAAAGGAGAAAACAGAAAACCAGTATGTGGACTAATATTGACACTTCTCCTTAATATTTGGTTGCACAGCCTTTGGCAGCAATGACAATCCTCCAAACGTTTATTATATTCATATAAACTTCTTGCATTTCTGTGGTGGCATTTTCTTCCACACTTCTTTTACAATATGCTCAAGCTCTTGTACATTTGCAGGGTTCCTTTCTCCAATGGCAGATTTCATCACCACCCAAAGATTTTCAACTGGATTGAGATCAGGACTCATAGCTGGCCATTTTAAAACAGTCAATTTTTCCCTTTCAACCATGCCTACGTGCTTTTTGAGGTGTGCTTTGGGTCGTTATCTTGCTGGAGGACCCAGGATCTTCACCTCAAACCAAGTTTCCTTACATTGGGCAAGACATTTCGCTCTAGAATTGCATGATGATCTTCTGATTTCATGATGCCTGTGATACGGTCAAGGCCTCCAGTACCAGATGCCGCAAAGCAGCCCCACAGTATTATGGATCCTTCACCATGCTTGACTGTTGGCATAGTGTTTTTTTCTTTAAAGGCTTCATTGCGCTCCCCGTAAACATACTGTTTGCGTGAATTACCAAAAATCTCCACATTAGTTTCATCTGTCCATCAAATATTGTCCCAGAAGGCTTGAGGTTTGTCCAGGTTCTCTTTTGTGAAGGTCAAGCGTTCTTTTTTATGTCTTTTCTTCAGCAATGGGGTCTTCGTTGGCCTCCGCCCATAAAGCCCCACTTTTAGTGTGCGGCGTGTGGCACTTGTTAAACAATCACACCAGACTGCTCCAGGTTGGTCTTTAGGTATTTAGATGTTAGACGTGGTGTTTTTTCCACCATTTGCACCAACCGTCGAAGACTTCTGTCATCAATTTTTCTCTTCCCCCGACGTCCAGGGAGATTCTTGATCGTTCCATGCCTGGAAAACTTCTTAATAACATTACACACCGTTGAAACAGGGATACCAAGGTCTTTGGCGATGGCTTTATACCCTTTGGAGGACTTGTGCTTGAAAATAATAGCATTTCTTATGTCCTCAGACAGCTCCTTTGTCTTTACCATTGTCACATGTGGAGATGAACTAACAGGTGGCTTTTTTAAAGCACCAACATGATTATTCATTGGTTAATTCATGTCACATGTGTGGAGGCAGTCCATCCCAAGTGATCTTTATGTGTGATTTGCAACAGGTGAGTCAAATTGGGTTTTC